CCCCCCGCAGAGATTTATCATAGGCTGGCCAATACTTCTGTTCTCTTCCCTTCTTCTCAGAAGATGCTGTGTACTACCCAGTTAGTTACCTCATAATTTGTTTCATTTGACTCCAGAATGGGAAATGTCAGTGCTCTTCTTACACAGTCACTAGTGAATGTCAGACTGTCCACTGTTTCTGGGAACTGTGTAAGGCTATAGTCTTTCGGCAAATAGAATTGCAGAGCTCTTACTCTCATTTAGTGTGAAATAGCTCTTCTTGAATTTTGCTTTATTTAAATGACTGACTCTCAATATTCAAAAGAAGAACTGAGATGAATCCAATTACTTTGCCCTAGTTCTGAGGTGAAGTCATGCAGAGGTGCTAAGTTTTGTGGCTAAATGTAAGACTATGCCAGGACTCATTTGAGAGATTTGAGAACCTTTTGATGAACCTGTGGTGAGTGACAAGTTGAAATGAAACTTGAAACCATATGACTTCAGATTTTATATTTGAACAACTTCAATACTTAAAAAATGCTGAGAGTATGTTGGTTTGGCTGTATTTGCTGCCTTTGTTAATAATAAAATGAACATAAGGACAAATATTTTTCTTTTGAAGAATGCTAATAGCACTTCCATTTATTTTATTTTTAATAGTTATTTTAAAATTCATTGAAGTAATTTTCCATGGAGTTCTATTAATTACAAAAAAAACCGTACAGAAGGTGAAAGGTGCTCTATTGTTTCACATAGTTCTAGGGGAGTGATTTGTATCACAGATGACTTCACTTTTGGGGTAAGGAGAGTACCTAGGCAATGCCTCTCATGTGTTATTGCAAAAACCAATACCTTGAGCTGGTATATTTCTGAACTGTAAATTCCTTACTTTTATTTTTCTCCCTGGAAGAATTTAGTACCTTAGTCCGTCTTGTGTCTGCAAAATTAGTTTCAATAGCTTTGCTAGTTTTAGTTGAGAGAATATACCATGCTTGTCTCCCTAGTTGGATGTGTAGGCTACACATGAGTAATTTTACTACAGTAAATAGTAAATTGTTTCTGTAATCATTGCTCATCTGATGAGTTTCCTGTCTGTCACGCTAAAAAACCCTCCTGTCATCTGTGGAGACACAGAAAGGAAATAAAACAATTTTAAATCCTTTTTTATGCTCTCTACATAACATTTAGGAAATAAGACACTCAAATAACTGGATTTGAATTATGGTGTTTCCGTTATTTTGAAGTACAGTATGCCACATGTGGCTATAATTTGTATTCCTAGGTCCTTTGACATGAGTATAACTTCAGCCTATCTTCAGTTGTGACTGGTTCTAATCTTGTGGTTTTAATCCCACACCACCCCTCAATTGTAGAGCTAGGCTGATAACAGCTGTAGAAGCTTGATGTTCTCTAAAAATATGCTTTTCATATTATGGCAATTTTACCTAGCATAGCTATGTTTTTACATTTTGCTAGCTTCCTAGAGCAGAAACCTTCATGTGTGTATTTTATTTCTTTTTTCCAAACTACCGGTATGATGTTTCCTGTCAATATTCAAGTGTCACAGTTTTGATTCATTAGCAATCTGTCAATTACTGCTTATGCCTGTCTCAATAGTGATCTTTGTTTCAGAGGTTTTTTCTTATTCACTTGTACACAGTGTATTGCACAATAAAACATGGAGTATTCCAGGTCCCAGGATTTACCAATTTATTGGAGACTGAATTTAGAGAAAGCTAAAATAACAGACTGTAGCTGATTGATTTAGAAGTTACATTTGAAGCTAGGAATGAGGCTGGAATAAGAAATATTTTGAAGGCTTTTTGAAGGGTTATCAGAAGGTGCTTTTTTTTTTCCTTCCCTCTGCAAACTGGTTATTGGAAGCAAGTCCCTTCCCAGAATTCCAGTTACTTTGGTTGACATCCATGTGTTGGTAGAGATCCTCTCATGTAGCTCTCCCTTTATGGGCTGAGTGCTAATACATACACATGAACTTGAGTATATTGCGAGATGCTTTATTTAGCCATCTTGAATTTCTTTTGATATTAATTTCTTTGTTTCATGGAGATATCTGTACTTTTATTTAGTCATTCATGTCTACTTTCTCTGGTTTTGTACTGTTTCTTCTAGGATAAGTTGGATATCCAACATTATTGTGGTGGTCTCTCCTGAAAATATTGAAACAATGAAGTCTATCATTGAAAAATATGGCCACAGAAGAGTTATGATAGTAAAAGGTGGAGTAACTCGTCACCGGTCAATTTTCAATGGACTGAAGGTATTTGCAGAGAATGAATTTTCCAACCATCTGCTCCAGAAACCAGAAGTAGTGATTATCCATGATGCTGTGAGGCCATTTGTTGAAGAAGATATTCTTTCAAAAGTGGTTATGGCTGCTAAAGAACATGGGGTATGTACTGTACAGCAATGCAACTCTGCAGTGTTCTTTATACTGTACAATGTAAAATCATGATTGATAAATAAGGCTTTTTCTAGCAATTGTATTAATGTATTATGTTGATTTTTAAGTAGAACAGATTCAGAATACCTATTATGCAGAGAGGTCAGATGAGGGAGGGAGACACTTTTAAATGCCGCAGGCGTTATTTGCTACAGGGAATAATTATTGCCATAGAGACTATAAGTAGGAGATTGAATTAATCAGCAATTTGTTAGTTGGAAGATAGATTACATAATGATAGTTTACGTTTTTTCCATGCAGAATTCTCACCTAATGCTAGAGTAGTTCAGTTAGTGATTACTAATAATAGCCAAAGAGAGTATGCATTGGTTGACTTGCAAACTTTGTGTTTTCATCTCAAACTTATATGCAAATCCTGAATAAGTGGCAAGAGAGCTATCTCTGTATTAATGCTAAATTTTTCTAGAATCTGTAAGCATTTCAAACTGCTGGGAAAAGGGGAAGTGGAAAGCCTCCAGTCGTAGGTTGGAGATCCTCCTGGTCATCACTGCATCTGAGGACTGGGAATATTCACAGGAACCAGAAAGATTTCTGAGACAGTAAGTGATATGTGAAGGGGAAGAGTTGGTAGAAGTTGTTTATGCAAGTAGAATGGTAAAGTTATTAAAGGCATGTACTAGCAACGAGAGGAACTGGTGGATAAACTGACTGACTAAGAGATAGAAGAAATCACGACTTAGCCACAGGCTTGTTTGTACAATTTGCTATCTTTACCTTGTACTTCAGTTCTCCATTAATAAGACAGTAGAATGCTTCTCTACTTCAAGGAGATGATTTGAGGTAGAAGTCATTAGTGACAGCAGATTGATTGGGTATTAGAAGGCTAGGAAAATCTACCACTGCTTGTTGTTTTCAGGAAGTGAGGTAAAAGATAAGCTAATTGACAGATGAGTCACAACTTTAACAGTGGAATAAAGAGTCCAAAGAATGAATTGTGGTATTTCCTTAGTGCTCCTCCACCTTTTTTTGAAAGCTTATAGTGTAGAAGGGGAATGTAAGGCTTGTTAAAATATTTATTATGGAAATTAAATTATGTAAGGTCTCTCAGAACATTGTTAGAAATCTAAATATGTTGAGCTTCTCACTAGTAGGCCTCTACTTTTGTAGATTGGCTTAATGAGAAATGGCAATAGAACAGAAACTCTGCTCTATAGTTTTCAGTGATACAGAATGTAAGTTTCCAGTCATTAAAACTTAAATTCCGTTACAATTTTAACAAGGTTTTTGACCTTTCTCATATAGCATAAAATAGCATTCCAGAACTGATTCTCTGCCAAAGACTTTAAAATAGATCCCCTTTGTAAATCTGTTTTAAATGTGATTCTTTGAGAGTAGTAGAAGAATGGGTTTAATTGCACTGATGTTGAGCTGAAATGAGAATAACTGTTTTCTGAATATGTTTGTGTTTAGGTGTCTTTGCATGTTATGGTATATCATATCATTTGTCGTTGTGTTTAAGTTTAACTTGTTCACTCTTTCTTGAAACTTGAGTGATTTTAATGTAATTTTTTTTTCCTGGTTTTCTTTTTAATTGGGTGTGAGACATTTTCAGTAAAACAGTAGGGAACCAAGGCAATCTCCATTGATCTTCTCAAGGCAGTGTACTCTAGTTCATCTGAACTTCCAACTGGTAAATATTTCCTTACCTAGATCACTGAAGTATCATTTGATCTCAAAAAGGTGATCTTACACATTTGTCAGTCTTTTCCATTGTATAATGTCTGTCTGAAATGTGTGTGATATTTATTGGCTCTGTGGTGGCTTCCTGTGTTGGCTTAGATCCACTGAATTCAGTGAGGCTAGACCATCAGAGAACTGGACTCCAAAAGCTGTTAGCTACTGATGTTACCTGACAAAGTAATTGAATTAAGGAACGTAAGAACTTTGTTTTATGTAACAAATTGGAAGAGCTTCCAGCCAGAAAGAGGTGGCTATCTTCACTTGACAACTACAGAATTCTGAAGAACTAAGTGACTGGAAAGCTAAGACTCTTTCTCAAAACTGACATGCATGGTTTTGAATATCAGAAAAAATTTGATCGAGAGAAGCTATCATCTTTACTATCATCTTTAGTTCTTCCCGTAGTCAAATTCTTTGCATATCTAAAAGGGAGTCAATTCTTCAATCTTTCAGTATAAAAAGTAATTACTTCCTTTTGCATTATGTAGAAAGGTACAAAGCCTGGCAGAGACATCATATTAAATCACTAGTGTAATAGGGGTAATGCTGTATTGTTCATCAGCATACCATATAGATAGCATAATTATGAGAAGCTGTAATGTTCTTTAAAATGGCAATTGATCGAGTAAGTTATTGCACTTCTAGCTGCCAATTGTCAGACAAATAAACTGCTTTATTACACTTACTAATCAGTTTGTTATTTGCCTGTAGGAATCAAAATGTGTGCTTTATCCAGAACTAATAAATTATGCCTTAAATCCCCCAAACAATCCCTTGATTATGTGAAAATATTACTTTGTAACCAATTAAATTCCATTTATGTTTTTGGGGTAATTTTGTAATTAAAATTACATGTTTCTAGAAACAAATTCTTTATTGCTAGTAAAAGTTGGGAAAAGTGGAAGCTTCAGAAGGCATGAGTCCAAAGCCTCTAGCAATATCTCATTGCCAACACTGCATTTTAAACAACATAACTAAAAAGAAAAATGCTTACAAGAAAAAAAAAGTCAGGAAGGTGGGGGGGGAACTTGTCAGTTCTGGTATTGAGAGTTTAAAAAAAAAGGCCCATACAGTCAAAGACTCTTTCTCTAGTTAACGTAAACTAGATTTGAAAGTATAGTTTATTTCTTTGAAAGGACTGAATCAAAACAGCATTCTTAAAAGCTGGTTTCTGGAAGCTGTCTAACATCATTACTTTATTCTCAGCCTTAGCAAGGATCTGAACAAAGCATACATGCCAATACAGATGTACAGTGCTACTCAGTCTCATGGACTCTTAAGCAAATACACAATCAGTCAAAATAATACCCCCAGACAGAAAACACTACATATTATGCTCAGTCTGTTCCTATCTCTGAGTTTACTCAGACTCAGTGCTGCGGGTTATCAGTCTTGCTGTGTCGGAAGGCTGGAGCAGAAAACATGCATTCATACGCATGCTGTTCTTTCACCCAGTTAGATAGCAAAATAAAATGTTTTATGTATGATTGTTGAGTTGCATTAGCAAAATATTGTGGGTGGCAAACCAAAAACCACCTCTTTTTCTCCACTGAAGGTGAAGGAGGACTTTGGTGTGGTATACCTGAATGGGGACAGCAATGCTGGAGCAGTTCTGCTCACTCTGTCCTTTGTTCTTTTTCTCTTAGAAGCAATTATCTTTTTATGTTTTCATATTATCTCCTCTGTTTTCATCCTATGTGGAATATTTTACACATCATCTTTGTCATCTTTGTTATACTTAAAGACTGATTTTAGCCAGCTGTAAAGGCTGCATCAGTAACAGACCATTTTTGATTCATATTTATACACTGGGTCATCTGAAGTCATCCTGTGCCTGTGTTCTCAGAGGTTCTGCTTTCATTGTACGCTTGATACTTTGGGGGCCTTCTGCTGTCCTGTCAGACACTTGTGCAAAAGTAGGATCAAGAACTGAAGACATATTACCATCTTGACATGATTTTTATTCCACTGATGGAATGAGTTCTGTAGTTTAGGAGACTGACTTATGTCAATGTAAAAATACATATTAATGAATTGTAGGGGTGTTATATAGTAATATTAGAAGAAAACAACATTTGAAGAGCTACATTATTGTGAAGATCAGAATCTGTTCAGTAGCCCTGAAACTCTTCTGAATATGTGAAGAATCAAGTGTGGTTTTGCTGCTGTATGGAAAACAGTCATACAATGCATTATACATTTTTCAATTCTGTAGTAATGGATAGCTATTGGAAACATACTGATGTTTCCATAGCTTATGGCATTATTGGTCCCATAGAAAGTTATAACCTTCTCAGCCAAGTCGTTAATTGTTTTCTGTGTTGAATGGAGAACTAATGTATTGTTAGCAAATACTTGAAGTCTTTGTCCTAACAAGATGTAGCGTTTGGTGGTGGGAAAGCACTGGTAAGAGGAGAAACAACTCTATCATTTTCCAGTCTCAATTTAAGTGATTTAGATGATTCATTGCATTCACTTGGAAGGATGCAACTCAACCAACTGAAATACATAACTTATAGACAGAAACTTAAATTATAATCTGCCTTTCTTCTCTGCAGCATTTCTGTGTTGTACTGACAGAGCCAGCTGCGCCTAATACAGCTAGTATTTAATCCGTTTTAAAAAGGTGACTTAATCCCACATTTTTTAGCTTCTGGAAGACTACACATAGAGTAATTTTTACCTTACTTTTTTTTAGGTAGGATTAGGGTATCCTGGAAATAAATTTTGAGCATAGCTTCCTGCACTTAAGTGGTTGCTGAGGTCATTGTTATGCAATACCTATAAAATGTACCTCCTTTAAACTTAGAGAAACTACATATATGACACTACTGTTGATTTGAGGCTAATTAAAGTCTGTATGCTTCATCTGAGAAAACAGTATGACTTTGAAAAATGAAGCAGCCTTTAGCAAAGATGTGCCTGTTTAGTTACTCAGATTTCTCCTTCCTGCAGCAGATCAAAGGAATAAAGAATAGTTCCTTAAAATAAGGGAAATCTCAGCTTGTCCAGCATGTGTGAGAGCTGAATAAAGGCCTTGGATCATTCTAGCCACTTCTACATGGCAAGATCTGGAAGAGATTCTTAGGCATATCTCTCTGGCTAAGGATTAGACATATACGCCTCCCCGCGTTTTTCCCTTTTTCACCAAATATTGCACTGAAAAGAAATCTGAGTCTTCATCCAGAAATGCCCCCAGCTGCATTTAGGCTGAGTTTGTGATCTGGGTGGTTGTGGCAAGGACAACA